AGTGAGCATCAGATCATCGTTCAAGTATTGATTTTTTAAGGATTTTGTTTGATTGGTTGGAGCTCGCCTTGTAACCAGAAGGTCCTGGATTCGAACCCCTGTGGTGAGTGCGTACTGTGCTGAAGAGTTCCAAACTAGGCTGACGAAACAGCTAGCAGTCCAGTACTCCCTGTAGGTTTTCCAATGGTTCTCTAACTGATGTCAGCTCATGATGGAATCCTCCAACCAATCAAATAAATAATAAAGTTACTGAATATGATACACAGAACTATCTTATTGCAAGTTAGTACATCTGCCAAGCATTATACACAATACAGAAAAAAAGATGTGCTGCAATTTTTATATACTTTCAACATTAATATGTCAGAATTGAAGCTAAGCCCAGAAACACTTTAAACTCGTCTGTTTTTGTTTTACAAATAACCAAGGGAAAAATTTATTGATTGACAGAATGACATAAAAAATAACAAGTCAGCTGTTTTTTTTCATTATGAAAAAGGTGACAGAAAGACTAATACACACCAAATTGATTTTGTTTACGAATCTGATAACTTTTTAAAAAAAAATCCAAATCCTGTAAGTTAAATCACATAATAATAGTCAAGATGCTTTTTCACAGACGCTTGCTTAAGGATTCTTTCAACATTTTAAGTAGTTTACAAATCCCTCCCCCTTCACACTTAGGTGAAAGAAGAGTGTTCAGTGAGCTTGTAAACCAACTTCTTCAGAGTCATATATGTAGAGTATGCGGAGATCTTACCAAAAAGGAGTATGAAACAAATAGTATTCAAACCATGGAAGCTATATGGTAGTCCAAATGTTAAAACATGAACTCTGTATAATATAGAAGTTAATTCAATCACTGAACCTAGAATGGACCATATTTTTGTAATTTTGTTTTAATTTTATTGTTTTATTATTTTTTATCCTTTCCTAAACTACTAGACTCCTACTCCTTATGACATTGATCATGACCTTTTTTCAATTTTAGTTGACCTCTACTTACACTCCTGCCAATTATGTTATCCTATTCAATTTACTTTTATTTTATCTTAGTTTCTGACCGATTAATGCTTTCTGAATTGCTTAATTGTTATCTAAAACTAATCATTTTAATGACACATCATTGGAAATATTCCTTTTGTTGTCATGACAATAAACTATATTTAAATAAGACTGTATAGGTTGAGAATGATAACGTTTTATTTGCATATATAACTCAAGTATTCCTACAAAAACTGTCATTGTGAACAGTCAAATTTATATCTATTGTATGAGAACTGTGAAACTGACGAGGATATCAAAGCAGCGAGGATCGGAAAAGCAAGACAAGCTTTCATTACTTTCAAGTCTGTGTGAAGATAGATCAATAGCACTACTCAGCATGAAAAATAACATCCGGATTTTCAACTCCAATGTAAAGTAAGTGCTACCTATTATACAGATCAGAGAATTGACGCCGCATCGCACAGCGTCACGAAGGGCACACTTTGAACAAACTAAAGACTTTCATGAACAGCTGTCTTCGCTCAATACCGCTCCAGATCAGATGGCCGGCCAGAGAAAATCAACAACAGGAAGGGATCTCTGGCAATGGGCGAACCAACCAAGCAGGAACCAACTGTGCAACAAATATGCAGGAAGAAATGGAGATGGATTGGCTGACCATACTCTGAGAAAACAAACCATCAAGTGAGTGACATCACACGCCAGGCCATCGCTCGAGTGGAACCCGACCGAATGATAAGTGGTGAGTTGGTCGTCAGTGCGAGGGTGAGGTGACATGGAAGAGGTCATGCGAAGAGGAGATGAAAGCATGTGGGGAGATGTGGAGCGAGGTGAAAACGTTGGCAGAGAACCGAACGCAATGGAGACGTATGGCTGAAGCCCCCTATGTTCCTCTAGGAATTAAAGAAAATAATAATACTACTAATAATTGTATGAGAGAGAACTGATTAGGTCACAGCTGATCGTTGAAGTCTTAGTAGTAAGAGCAGGAAAGGAAGGGATTGATGTCTCCGTTAACATGTTAATTGAATCACAATGTCATCTACAACACATTTAGGGCAACATCCATAAAAGAAGAAGAGTGTAAATAAATTAGTGAGAATCTTTATTGGGTTAACTTTCTCTCCAGAATGATTACGAGATCAATTCTAGAGATTAACGGATCGAGTATAGTGGAAGTTGACACAGGTTGGCTATAAATGTATGATATCTGCCACTGTAGAGATATATATATTCGATAGCCGAGAAAAAAATAACAGACTTCTCATAGTCTACAACACTTAATTATTTGAATGTAAATAAATCACATTTCAAAAACACAATGATAATTTCATAATGAAGAAAAACAATGTTAGCATCAGAACAAAGATTCCTTCAAAATCAATAAATTATTGATTGAATAATAAAGTTGGTGATAATGACGAAATCAAACCTTGTATACGTTGTACTACTTAAATAACATGTTTAAAATCCTTAATTGTTCACTGAAATGTACTCAGTTCTCATTCAATTTCAGATATTCAGTCTTCGATTTATTCATTCTCTGCTGTCAGTTTAGTTGTGTTTTTTTTCTCACGTTATTTTCCCTCTGATTTATCAATTTTTTCTAATTTGAATTAAGCGTCACAAATTTCACCGACGTACAATCTGTCGGATAATCTTGATTCCCCTAGGTCTGAATTGGCCTCTTCTCACTTCCTTGATTTTCACATATCAGCATAAATAATGAAAAATCATGAACAATGGACTAACATCCTGAGGACAATGAATATTTAAGATTATGAAAAACTAAGGGTCAGAGATCGTGTGTGTGTGTGTGCTATGTGTTTTGGATCGAAATTCGATCAAACTCTCTGTATTAAAATCAACATATTTGAAAAGAAGGAAAGTTGGATGTGGGGAAGAGTGGCTTGAAACTCCATCCCGTAAATACGATAAAAAAAGGAAACACTACCACCACCACCACCACTGAAACTTCCAAAAATCAATGCTTGCAGTCCTATATTCTACCAAGAAAGTAGGGGACGACAAATGGAAATCTTCAAGTTGATCATCGATACTAATTTTAGTATTTTGGAAATATTGTACAAGGATTTAAATTTTTATTTACAATGAATATTTGATATTCAATCGAAATGTTAAATATGTCTTAAGATTAAATATTCTGCCAGTATCTAAGATTATCACATGAATACACTTAAATAATCAGTAAAGTTGTTGTACATCTACCTACCTACCACAGTATCAGAATAAACCTAAGGTTAAAATAATTACATGAAATTGAATTAACCTAATATATTGACTAAGTAAATGTCTAACTCGAATGTGACTACCTCAGATGTTCTCACTTTTGTTGTTTCACGAGTACACAGAATTAAATAAAAACCAATGAGGGTAATGAGTACAGTCTGCCTCGATAGTTATGATGGGAGGTGTACAAGAAAAAACAACCAGAAGTGAAGTGTTAATTTTGACAGAATGACTCAATAAAAAAAAGCAGACCCCTTAGTCTGTTTGAAAACTCGTCTATTGTTCTTTTAACTATAATGTCTTATTTTCAGCTTATCAAGAGAATTAGACAAGTGGAAGTATAAATAATAAGCCATACAGAACTACTGTAACTATCTAATTAGTTTCAACATAGAAAAAAAATGCAACAGTTCGAGTTGCTATACTCCATGTAGCACACAAAGAAAGACAAAAGAGAGAGAAAAGAGATTCAAAAGAAGGATGATAAGCAGAAATGTGAGGGAGGAGGAGGAGGGGGAGGAATTATTATTATTATTGTCCCCTTGTGTTCCTAGTGGAACAAAGGGCTTCAACTGCACGTCTCCACTTGTTTCTGTCTTCTGCTGTACTTTTTACCTGCATCCATGTTAGTCCATACTGTTTAGGAATAGTAACATGGAAAAACAACACGGTTTAATGAGTATACCAGATCACAGAGAGGGAATTCATCTGTGCACCATTCAGAAGAATTTTGAGTCATACCACCAATAATAACCTCCAGAGTCATTAACTCTTAGAATCCAGAGGACCCCAATCAGGTGGTCTACACCTACCCACCTCTACATAGCCGCCTCAAACAAACTGTCAAATATATCATGGAATGACTCCACCAGTAACTTTTCTCTCAGCTAACATTGTGTAACATACATCTTAGACATTTCAATTGATGTAGCTTCACAATCTCATCGACTAACACACACCCCTCCTAACACCTAACAGTCGACGCCCAACCTCAATATTATGCCAACTAACACAGGAGACAGAACGCAGAGACTTATAATCAAAGACAGCTAGCCAGGCTCTTTTCATGTCTTCCACGTTGAATGGCAATGTCTCACAGCCATCCACGACGACAGGACTTCTTGATGTTGTCAACTAATCATGGGCAGACAAATATTTTTTTCAAAAAAAACCCCTTATTATTACTGTTGTTATTAAGTAGTTGTTTACTGTTCTCCCCTTAGTGACATTGTAATTAGACCCATAGATGTCCACAATAAAGGATTCGTCCAAAGCCGACGGCTTCAATTGAATGTACTGAGTGAACCGGATAATCTATGCAAAAGCAAAATTCTATTGTCCAAGTATCATTTAAAAAAGTATTTCATCACGAACCTACAAACAAAGAAGGACTGGAAAGCTGTTTTGCTCACGTATGCGACTCTTCTACGGTGCCTGCCTACTACCAACGGGCATTCGATTCGGGACCCTTAGGCTACAAAGGCCAAACTCATTGACCTGGCGGGGCAGTGAATACGTACTGCTTGCTTGTTGAAGAGTCCTCAAAGAGGAGAACAAAGCAACTGTTCCAGTCCTTTGCTCATTTTTCACTGAGTCTCTCTAACTGATGTCGAGAGATGACGAAACTAATTCAAATCCATGTCTAAATATCACTCAGAAATAAAATTCCAACGACTAAAATTATCATTGAAATAGTGACATACGGAAAAGAAAAAAAAAGGAGTGTTCTTTGAACCACTTACCCAGATCTGTTTACACCTTGAATAGGATTGTCCATATAACAACTACTAGAAACAGGATTTGTTTCAGAGGGAATCGATGAAGCATAGCTAACACTAGAGTTGTTAGCTAATTGTTTATTGTTTCCGGATAATTCAGCAATATTACATAAATTCCTGTATGAAGGATTATTAGCTAATAATGACAGGTGATTAGCATTATCCCATTGTGATAACAAAGCAGCTGCAGCTTCAAGTTGTGATGGAGATAACATACTGGCGGCTCTAGCAACAGCTGAGATTGAGGATAAATCGAAACCAGTGGGTAGATGGTGACTTTGTGTCATTGGTTTCGTATTATTCCTCACCTGATCACCAGAACCACTTAAACGACGAGGAGGTGGATGTGATGTTGTTTGAGAAGGTGCAGGAGGAGGAGGAGGCGGTGGTGGCGGATGTGGTGGTGGAGAAAATCTTTGGGAATTTGTTGGTGCTGGATATTGAAATACTGGTGAATTATGCATAGGACTAGACCTGAGAGTCTGTGGTGGTGGTGGTGGTGTTCGTTGAATTTTAGAATTTTCGGAACATTTAATCCTGAGTGATGGATTTGACATATTTGTATGCGTAGATATATGCGTTTGACGTCCCTGAGTATCAGATTGATGTAATAAACCCTGGGAATAAGCAATATTTGCCAGTGAAGTATTCTCCATCTTATTCATTTTCGATGGCACAGAACATTCATTTACTGAGGTATGCACTGATTCGCTAGAATTTTTATTAGCATTCAATTTAGCTAAATTTTGTGCATAATTCACTAAATATTCTTGTGGTAATACTTGTAACAATAATCCAGGTTGTTGTTGTAATAATTCCGTAGGATATTGAGATATTGTTGTAATCAGATTAGAATTGACATCATTTCGACGTCCAGATGGTGTAGATTTCATAGAATGACTAGACTGTCTAGACGTCATTGTCTGAGATTTATCCCCATGACTATGTTCAGAGGTATTAGATCCTGACCGATTGTTAAAGGTCTGTTGCTGTTGGGGATGGTGTGTTTGCCGTTGTTGTTGTTGTTGGCTCTGTTGTTGTTGTTGCTGCTGTTGTTGTTGCTGCTGTAAGACAGCTATACTATACAGATCTGAAGAAGACATTAAATTTCCACCTTGTAAACTTTTACCCGATGATAGTTGAGGTGATGAAATCGGAATTGGCAAGGATCGTGAATTTGTATTTGTATTCATTGTTTGTATAGGTGTATCACAGCATATCTTTTTTGAAGTATCATTATTCGATACAGTTGTCAGTGTTGTTGGCAAGGAAACTAGATTTGACGGAGAAGGATGAACATCAGCCATCCAACGTTTCTTTTTCGGTAACATTATCCAATGAATTAATTAATTAGTTGATTATAAATATAATTCCAGATAAAGAATACAAACCATAAGTTAGGTTGTTGAAATACAAAATGATTAGTGATGTAATCGTTTAGATCAATCAAATGATCACCTGTAAGTAATAATAATAATAATATATCCACAGTTGAATGTAATTCAAGTATAGAAGCCTGCTTTCATTCCAATGCATATAATATTTCAAAATATATAATGATTCCACAATAAGCTGTTTTGTAGTTGTAAATAATAAGAGTCAGTCAGTCCGTCAGGTCGTCAGTTAGCCAGTGTTGTACTGGTAAATAATCGTCTACTTATATCCGTTTAAATTAACGCTTTAATATGTATGAAAATGAACTTTTGACTGACCAAAGTTCTATGCTTTATCTGTCTATTCAACTAACTAACTAACAGCAATAATAACAACACACATAGATAGATGAATCATTCCGTATGCTGTACAATGGACAAGGTCAATATAATCAGTATAATCATAAATAAACCAATCAAAAGTGTCAAATCTTTTAACCAATCATATTAGAGAAAATTAATAATTAATGTCTACGTAGATAGAGGTGATTATTGATGTTTTTGTAGAATAGAATAGAATAGTAAAAATTTTTACGTTTCACTTGAAAAATATGTGTTAAACAACAACAACATATTTTTCATATAGAATTGTTTGTTGTCTTGTTGTTGCTTTTCTATAATCTACCGTGTGATTTATATTGAATGAGAAGAATGATAATAACAATAATAATAATAATAATAATTAGAATAATAATGCACCCTATTGGTAGCTTTTAATTCAATTGAACATGGCTTATATTATAGAGGGTAGGGTTGGAAACACACGACAGGTTTCGTAAACGTGATATGTGGTGTATACAAAGTTTATGATTAACTTGTCATTATTATTATGATTATTATAATAATTCTGTTGACTGGAGAAAATGAGAATGAAATGTCGTAAATTAGATCGTCACTTGTATCGACTTTTCAGTAATGGATAAAATGGGCGGATATGTTACATGGAAAATAACAAGAATAATAATGGGTTTTTCAGTATATTACTACAATGAATGAGTCTTAGAGAAACATACACAATGTATACGTCTGGTAGAAGTCTCATATATAGTTTGTTAGTACTAGGTGGTTGGAGGCAATGGGTCACAGAAAGTCTTGCTTGACCTCTGAGTTTCATGCTAGTTGGCAATCATCACTTCACCAAGGTGTATATCTGAAATCACCTTGAAGGAACTCCTGTTCCAACCCTCTAAGGTCCTCGAAGCCGCATCACCCAGTGCAGCATTTTAGAGACGCTACCAGTGAGCAATTCGGGCTCACGATTGACCTCCTATAGGACTGACTGTATTGGATATTTTTGATTGAACAGTAGTCCTTTTTTTTTTATTACAGCTTGATTCCACACCGTATTTTTTGGTACAGGTATGGAATTTTCAGCATGTGATATCGGTAGCCCAAATTTTGCAGGTCGGCCATAGATATCAGGTGTGCGTCGGCAGGTAATCGAACCCCGGACCATGTGCATGATCGGCGAGAGTCCTAACCACTGTGCCACCGATGCTAGTTAGTAACTAGTGTGATTTGTCTGGTTAGTCTTTTGTTTGCTGCAGACATCTTTCGATCAGTCGAGTTTGTAATGTGGCTACCATTCTAGGTAGCTCGCCATCACGGTTCACAGTGATTTGATGATATTAGATGGTTGGAGGCAATCAGCCACAGGAAGCCTTGCTTGACCTAGGTTTCGTCAAATCAATGTACACCATGATAGCGAGCTACCTAGAATGGTTGCCACATTGCAAACTTGACTGATAGAATTCAGTCTGCACCAAACAAAATATTAGACACGTCGAACTAGTTACTAGTGTCCAATCAAAGTATATGTAGATTGTTAGAGTTTATTTATGGCACTGGCAATCTCTTCTGTTATGTAATAGACGGACAACTAAATAGAAAGAGTGTAACGATAATAAAAATATTATTAATCTGTCGGATTCCAAGTGGAACATAGGGCTACAATGGCATATCTCCATTTTACTCTGCTCTCGTTAGTCTTTTTTAGGCTGGTTTCTCTATGCCACCCCTTGACCCACCCTCAACTCGTTCTGCATTCGGGTCCCACTCAAGGATCTGTCTGGAGCGTGAAATTACTAAACGGTTTCCTCAGCGTATGTCCAGTCTATATATATATATATATATATATATGCATATATATAATGAAAAGAAATAATTTTTAAGCAATCCATATCGCAGACCATTGTCCAGCCGTTTGCACTCAAAACTCACTTTATTAATAGATTTCAGATTTTTGCTGAGTGACGGGAGGTTTCGACCGTATGTCAATCCTTTTCTAATCTGTATTTGTGCTTGTCTTGTCAATTCTCAAAAACAAGCAGGTTGATGGTGAAGACACTACTTCTTCGCGGAGTCGATTCCAGCAGTGACAGTCCATCGAGAGAACCAAGGTGGTACAGTTTCTCCTTGACTTTTTGAATCTCCTGTCTTGTCCTTTATAATATTCAAACTTTGTGGATTGGAAGAGAGAAAACAGATCAGATCTATAGTTAAAATTTTTAATATTGTGATGATTTATTACAGGATTTCATCATGAGCTGACATTGGTTAGAGAACCATTGGAAAACCACCAGGGAGTACTGGACAGCTGTTTCGTCCTAGTTTGGGACTCTTCATCAGTACGCACCCACCGGGGTTCGAACTCACGATCTCATGGTTACAAGGCGAGCTCGTGGACGATTAAGCCACTGGGAACCGATCCAATGGCCAGTCCTTGAATTCTAACTTCTGCCATTCACGATATAGCGCGACCGCTAACCAATGTCTTCGGTGGTGAGTATTTATCCTCACACTCGACCTGCTTCACCCCACTGATCATGACTTCCCACTGGAACTCCAGGTAACAACCTACCTGAATAGGGCCAGTCACCAGTGAACGTCTCATTGATATTCAAGTATTGGTTTGTAGGGATTTGGTTGATTGATTACAGCATGGTATGCGAGCTCACCTTGCAACCAGAATGTCCTGGGTTCGAACCCCGGTGGGTGCGTACTGCCGAATATTTCCAAACTAGGACGAAACAGTTGTCCAGTACTCCCTGTAGGTTTTCCAATAGTTCTCTAACCAATGTCAGCTCATGATGAAATTCTATAACCAACCAACCAAATCCCTAAAAACCAGTACTTGAATATTTGTGATGATTTAGTTTCTTGTACGATGAATTGCTCATCACCAGGGAATTATACATGTCACTGTTCTTTGAACTCTTTTCAATGTACATGAGTCTCTGTTAATAGTATTCGTACCTGAAGACATATTAAATATACCTATATAAACTACGACACAATTTTCAGATGATCACAACCCTAAAACGATAAATTTCAAAGGGAGATAATTTAACAAATTACCAATGGAATTGTTCATAATGTTTTTTTATGTGTATGAGGTGTAGTTTGTATAGGCTTAAGTATTCAACTTTCAATCAGTGAGACACGAGTTCACATTCCTCTTCTACCTACTTCAGCCTGGAAAACTGGATGGTATCATGAGGCTTCTCATATTAAGTTTGACATATAGTCTTTTAAATGAAGGGTATAACTTTTATAGGAATCATCTTGTAGTCAAATGGTCTAGGTTGTTGACTTTCACCCACTGGATCACATGTTTTGGTACCCCATCCAATTAGGAAGGTTTGGGAATCCTTCGTCTAGTGTCATTAGGCCTCTCGAAATAGTTGCATAGCTCATTGCCGACAGCATGAAATTACAAATGGTTGTTATATAATGTTTTTTTCAACATCTGAGTTATCATGTGTCTCCAAGACCAACCGCATATTCTTCTACACAAATATTGCTGAGGCAAGAGGTTGTTGGCACTTAGAGTATCACTGAATATCAAAATCCTAATTTAAGACTCTTAAAGTAGTCGAATGTGAGAATGATTACTGAAGCATGGTACAGTATGACATTTATGAACCGGTGTCTTCACTGGCTAGATACTAAAATCAGATAGAAGTTAACTGGTGGATGATGACTAGCAGTGGAATCCAGAATAATGCGCATTTCGTCCTATTTGGGACTCGTCAGCCAGCTGGATGTACCTGCATTCCCCAGTGAGTGATGATGTTCCCACCAAGGCTCGAACACAGTGCTTTCGCGTTTGAAACTTTGGGTACTGGGTTCCAGTCTCGGTGGGAACATCACCACTCACTGAGGAATGCAGACACACCCACCTAGCTGACGAATCCCAAATAGGACGAAATGCGCATTATCCTGGATTCCACTGCTAGTCACCTGAAAGAGAAACACAGATTATGGAGTCTGTTCAAGGAACGACAAGGAAGAGATCCTTTAAGGTGATGAGATGACAGCTTATGGGCAATTGTCGAGCAAGCTAAAGACAACTTCAGTGAACAGGATGAAATGCAGATATCCTGTTCCACTCGGAAACTGAGTGAATAATAATACATTCTGATCCGACCAACAGATCAACTGAATTACACACATTGTGCATCGTTTTACCTTAAAAATGAATCAGTTTACGAACAGAATCTAATAACATGTGCAACTTTATATTGATTTAAAACTAAGATCATATAGTTTTGTCAGTATAATTATGATTATTACTTTTTTGTTTCATGACAGTTTTGACGTAGTTCTCACTTACTAAACTAAACTCCTCTTCATTTGTTTAATCGATTGAGTAGGTATATATGATGATCGCTATATTTTTTTACATATTTGATTGACTCAGCCTGTCTTTTTCTATTCAAATAGTCTTAAGCACAATCGCCTTCATCATCATCATCATCATCATTACTATTATTATTATCGATCGTTGTTATTACTATCATCACCACATAAGATAATTTAAAATTAGAGTATTGATTCATTTTCAAGGTCAATGGTGGAATAACCGTATGTCATGTGACTTTTAAAACAAAGCAGCT